CATGATAGATAAAGATATTAAAAATAGATTGAGTTGAACAATTGACATTTTCAAAAATTATTGTGTTTACCCCTCCATGCGGTTTTGATAAATATACACCAAAAGCCACTAAAAGAACTTTTTTAATATAAAAATTACAGTCATTTATTTCTGACAATTTGCTTCTTTTTATGTCATTTATATATTTAATATGATTGTTAGAATCGATTTCATGCGACAAAAGTTGGATTCTTGACTTTTAGGCGCCAGTAGAACATACTTACGCGCTTTGCGCTTAAGGCATGCAACATAAGCCTTTTTAAGAATGTGCAAGTAGACTATAATATATTTATGGAAACATCATTTTTTTTTATAGAATAGGGTGACAAACGAGCACACAGTCCACCTGATGGTAAGTGGTTGCTGCGGCCCATAGACATCTACATCTATCCTCCATTAAAAATCAAAATGCAGATGCGTTGTCACCCGTGAGGACTGAGATGGAATGCCTCGTTTCCAGTAAAAAGGGTCTCCGTTTCTCTACACTCACCATACGAAATACAGCAGCATTAAGCTACTATTTCACGCTGGTATTCTGTGAGAGCGTGGTCCTTCCCCGGTCAAGCCGACCCATTCGTGCTACAACTATACTACTAATATAACCGCAGCATGGCTCTACCACGTAAAAATTATAAGAGACATATTATAATATTTAAGGAAAAACATCATGTCTACTGGCACGTAAAGTAGCAATTAACAAATTTTTGTGGTTAACGTATTTAAAGTTAAGCTTATCTTTATATTTTTTTTTGCGTTTTAAATTAAGCTTTTTAATAGGTGGTAGGAGTACGTCTGGATTAAAACCACCTCTTTCTTACCTATTTCCAGTCTAAAGGTTAGAGAGCCAATGTAGTTAATGACCCGCAAAATTGTGAAAGAATCGATATCTTCTCGATACCTAGTACCTACGTATCAAAAGTATCGAAACCCGAAAAAGTGTTGTATCGATATAATTCGATATTGAGTATCTTTTAATTTTTTCATCATCATCATTCATCATTATAGCCCTACACAAGTCCACTGCTGAACATAGGCCTCCACCAAGTAATGCCACAAAGTACGGTCCTGAGCCACCTGCAGTCGATGGACGACTTCCTGCATGTCTTACTAGGTATTCACTCCATCTAGTGGGTGGTTGCCATACGTATGTCACTCAATAAACTTAGAGATCCTCGAAATTTAAAAATGGAACGCACCAGTGTTATAGATTTCTAAAAAGCAACTTTATTTAAAAATAGAACTCCATAAGCCAATTGCTCAATATTTTAAAAAAATAAAGTTCTGTAAATTTTCCTGCAACGCTTCCCGCGCTTTTCATCTAAAACGATGGATTTCAACCTGTGAACATTTGCGCTCTATGATCTATATTATGATTTTAAATTTGGTTTAACCGTACAATTAAGTTTACAACGATTACAGTCAGCATTAGGAGACTCAGCTCCATCTCGCGCAATAATTTTTAGGTGGTTTGCTAAATTCAAAAGGCGTAAAATTAACCTTAAATATGACCAAAGAACCGGGGCCCCGCAAGCAGCAGTAACGGCAGAAAATGTATGGACTACTGAAATGTTGGTGCGAGAAGATCCACGAATCACATATAGGGACATCAAAAAGATTGTAGGTATTAATTCGGGGAGCATTCATACCATCCTACATCAACATCTTGGAGTGAGGAAGCTTTGTTGTCGATGAATCCCTCGTTTGCTCTCCGAAAGTGAAAATCAGACTCGTGTGGATTAGTGCTATGAAATGCGTTTACGTTTTGAAAACGGGCATCTAGGCATGTTTCAAAAATCGTTACTGGTGACGAGACATGGATCTATCAATATGATCCGGAAAATAAAAGGCGAACATCTGTATGGGTCTACTCAGAAGGATAGTTACCGACAAACGCAAACGTCGACAAACCTCGCAACGTCGCAAAAAATGGTAGCTAGATTTTTTTCGCGGAGCGGACATTTGCCGACGTCAGTGCTGGAAAATTGTAGGTCAGTCAACTCTATACTACAGTTGCATTACCCAAAGCTGAGCGGGAGAGAAGACCAAAGAACGGGCTTCGGAGAATCATGCTCCATCACGATAACGCATCTTCACATACCTCCCTTAGAACAACAACAACAACAAAAACACCAGATTTATTGAGGAATCTGGTGCTGAAACTCTAAGTCACCCACCCTACAGCTCTGACTTAGCTCCTTGCGATTTCTTATTGTTCCCAAGAGTCAAAGAAAAAATAAAAGGCAAGTTTTTTTCAAGCGCCGAAGAAGCCATGGCTGCCTACAAAGAAGCGATTTCCTACCTGTCAGATCAAGACTGGTAAAAGTGTTTTCAGAGTTTGTTTCGGCGAATGGAACTTTGTATAGAGCATGATGGAGAATATTTTGAAAAGATGTAAAATAAATATTAATACTATTAAGAATACTTTTTGTATATCTCAGAACTTATTGAGCGTCCCAGGGAGAACCTTTTTTCCCTTACGGTTGTCGGTTTTTCGAGCTATATGGCCGGCCAATTGCCACTTCAACTTACTAATCCGTGTATTTCTTCAAGAGAGCGTTGTCTTCTTTCATGAAAAACAAGACCACCACTTCTGCTCCACGCCTCGGGAGTAGTGCCACTATGGAGGACGAATTTAAAGAGCTTCTGAAGGACCTCAAGTACCGGTTTTCCACCCACTTTCAGAAGCTGCACTGTAATTTCATCCTGGCCCGGGGACTTGTCGTTTTTAAGTTGCTGAAGAGCCATTCTAATCTCGCTCAGACTGACGTCTGGGATATCATCGGAATAGTGTCAGATAAGACTTGCTCTTGGGTCGCTACTCACACTTGCGTGTGGCTCCAACGATGAAGTGTACAGCTGCCCATAAAACCTCTCAATCTCACTCAAAATTTCAAGTGTCCCGGAAACGATGCTGCCACACTCCGTCTTCAGCCTTGACAGTTGGCTCTTTCTGGCAGGCAGATCTCTGGCAAAGACTTTGGGGCCCTAGTTCCGCTCGATCGCTTCTTCAATACGAGTAGTATTAAAATTGCATAAGTCCCGTCGCATGCATTTGGAGTACTGTCTGTTCAGTTGCCTGTATGCTGTCAAATCTGCTGACGATTGTAGTCTCATCTCCAAACTAACGGGCATGAGATTAAGAGTGTGATCGGAGAGTTTTTTGTTCTTCTGCGGTGGGTCTTGCAGAACTTAGCTCCGGCCGCATGGACAGAGTTTCCACAAGTAAAAGTAAAGCAAAGTTACAGCCTATATACGTCCCACTGCTGAGCACAGGCCTCCCCTAATATCTGAGAGGGTTTTAGGGCAAGGAAGTGTCCGCCGTGCTGCCCTAATGCGAGTTGGCGAACTTCACATGTCTTCGAAAATACTTTTTTTCTTATTCCTCAGACATGCAGGTTTTTTCACGATGTTTTCCTTCACCGCCGAGCACGTGGTAAATCAGCACTTGAAATTGCAATTAACAATTTCATTGGTGCCGCTGGAGATCAAACCCGGGTTACTCGCATTCTGTTATATTTACAGCGAGCGTTAACCATCTGAGCTACCACAGCTCACACACAAGCTTGTCACTCATATCGTCCAATGTATTGCAATCTTCTAGGCACTGAAAGCGATTTTGTAACTCGAGCACGAGGGGGACGGAGCACTGACATCATTAGACGAGACCACTCCAACTTAACGTTTAGGTTCAGTGTGCCTCTAACCATTCGGTGATCGCTGCCAGTTTTCACCCTTGCGATCACTGACATCGGCCAGCTGCTGGCCACTTGGGTTCCTTTACCCTATCCCAAATTTCCCTACCGCTCTTTTCAGCTCACCGTTCTTTCTTGTGCCTAGTTTTGCGTTGAAGTCTTCTATTAACACCGTATAGTGAGTTTTGGAGTAATCCATAGCTCTAGAAATATCCTCATACATTTCCTCCACCTCCTCATCGAGATATTCCGACGTTGGTGCATAAACCTGTATAACCTTCAGCGAATACCGTTTTGTCATTCTGAGTATAAGGTACGCAACCCTCGTCGACACACTCCCAATCTTTACAACGATGCTGACGAGAGACTTGTGGACCATAAATCCAACACCTCCTTGGAACAGATGATCACCCTCCTGGTGATAGAACAAGTTGCCAGACTCGAGAATCATCGTGTCATCCCCCTCTCTTCGAACCTCGGATAATCCTATAATATTTCAGCGTAACTTGTCTATCTCTTCTCGTCAGTCCTCAGGGTGCGTGTCAATGATCCCTATTATAAAGTATTTCATAAAGTGTGGTAATTCTGTGTACTCATGACATTTTTTATCAAGATGCAGGTTCCTCCGCGTTTTACATTTTTACTTGAATAGCATGTTGGTAGCTTATAATTGGATATGTGTATTAATTTTTTATGGCCAGTCATTATGAAATGCTCGGTATATCTATTTGTTTGTTTAATAATTCCTAATTATGAACCTTAATATATCAGATTTATTAAGAAATCCAGCAATATTCTGGTGCATGATATACATATGTTTAGAATAGAAATCGAATTTCATGGAATAGCTTCTTAATTTTTATTTTAGGCTCTGGAGATATTTCTAGATCTAAGTTAGGATTACTGATCATTATTAGTATACACATGTTTACACATGATATTCTTTAATCTATAGTTATTTAATCTTCCACAAACATACTATAATCGTAGGCTAGTTCAAGATGAGAATCTAATAGCTTTGCATAGTTAAAGTGTTGAGATCTAGGTACGAGTACAATAAATTATTAACACGTTCCAGGACACTTGACTATTTGTAAATGTCATGATATGACACTTCAAAATCTCTACACTACCTATCATATCGTCTACAGCCGTACTACCATATTACATATATTTTTAAATTTTTGATACGACAAATACGACCACAGACGTTGACGCCTATGGGCGGTACGTCATACCCTGACTAAAAATTAGCAATGTAATCAGATAATGCGGCTACAGACGATACCGTCTATAGATGGTCTGCCATATTACATACATTTGAAAAGGTATATTTTGACGGAACGTTCAAAGGCGCTAGCGTCTAAGGGCGGTCTGTCATATGTTAATCTTTAATGTATTATAAGGTAATAGCGGCGTTGGGCGGGACCGCCTTTAAACGTATTGTCATTGCGTGTAGACACATATATATATTGTCAATAATGAAATAGGCGTTCCGCCTAAAGGAGATCTGTCATAAAATAGTCATTTCTAAAATGGTTATATGACAGTTACGGCCCCTGGCGTTATTGCCTTTCAATCCACTTAGGTTCTTTCTTTTAAAATGTCATCTACACTCAGCTTTTAGTAAGCTTATAATATCTCCTCCACGCGTCGTATGAGACAAGGTCTTTCCTAACTACATCACCACCAAGTATCGTAAAACTTCTTATTAACTTATCTCTGTATTCAACATATCCGTATTTCTTGACATTGATCTTTATAACATACTTTTTGAAAAAGAAGAATGGGTTCCAGGCGGTGACATCCAATATGTGAAAAATAATTTTTATACCACTTTATCGTCTTCCGAGGACAAAAATAGTAACTGATCATTTGTTCAGCACAATCAATGCCTGAGATGAAGCTGTTGTACCTAGCTATTTCTTTAGGTTTTTTGCGCTTTTGCCCACGTCAGTTGGTAACTTCAATCATTCAGGTTGACCCAAAGTTGCCAACATTAAAACTTGCCGTTTATCTCTTCAATTATTCACGTAAATCTTGCTTTTTTGTAGCCAAAAACATTCACCCTTTTTCAGTTTTTTATTTGCTAACTAACCACACCCAGCGATGAGACGACACGCGGGCGGCGCTATATATATAGCGCAACGCACGCGCGGATATATATCAACATCATTGTATTGACAATAAATATAAACAAAAAAGTTTAATTTGGATATTAAAATATGTACTTATACAAAAGTCATCATATGTTTTTCCCGATCACAACGTATCTTGGAGGAGTCTTGTTCCAATGAATCCTCAGGCACTCATTTTATATGGGTTACCTTAAAATAGGTAAAGAACATGCTCCTATTTATCCCGTTGTCTCATATATATATATATATAGATATAGATGCACCAGCTTTTTTCCTTGCCAGAAAATAAACATCCTCCTTTGGGAGAAATCTGGATTCAATTCAACTTACAGCCTTGAAAATAGTTTAGATCTCATTTACAAAACGTTTTCCTCCTAAATCTATGTTGTTATCTTTAGACGTTGATAGTTTTTCACAAATATCCCATCCTCTGACTGTTTGCGAATACTCGCAGTTCTCTTTTATAAATGTCGTCTAAACCTCAGGGAAACAAATGATGTTCTTAACTTAACCTCTCTCTGTATAAAATAAAATTATTTCCGGTTTAATAACTAGCCAACGACTACTCTTTTAAAGTCTTACATATTTGTAATAAAGGGCTGCGACTGTGTGTGCTGGAACAGTTAAAGATTTAAAAAATAATAATGGTAACACTGCTGAATGAACTAACAAATGTTTCTAACTAGCCTCTATTAAACACCTTTAATCCTGCTTTCTTATAAAAGACAGCCTCGCAATATGGTCGTTCATCACCCTCGCGGTGATCAGCGAGTTGTATAAATAGCAGTTGTTTTGGCTCACCGCTCTGCGCTCTCCTTTTTGCCAAGGAAGGTCGCATCCGTATACGGCTATATCTCTAGTTAGACCGTTAAGCCAGTCCCTAAAAGGTGGGGTTTAGAGGGTAAAAGTCTCCACCCGGCTGCGTGGTATGTTATGAGCATTCCTCACCTCCCTCCCCCGCTTTCCGTATTCCCATATTTGCTTCGGGCGCAAAAAAAAAGCTCGCCGCTCACTTAGCAGTCAGCCACCGTACATCACCTGAGGATGGCTCGTATAGAGGCGAAACACGTGTCGTATTATCATCGAAGGTGTGTCTTTCCTAGTGTAGTTAAGTGTGGTGTTGGGATTAGTGCACGCAATTGAGGAAGGGCGGGAGGTGGTCTTCAAACTAGGTAAGAGGTAAGACACATCATTTTATTCTATTGAGTGGATGTGGGCGAAGTAATTCTTACCATTCTTAATTTTGACTAATTGACGTACTAGGAATTTTGTTAAGCCTGTTTTATGTCTTTTTGGTGGATCTATTGAGTCAGATAAAAATAATAATTTGTCAAGCCCCGAACCAGTGAGACGATTTCAAGCTTTAAATATTGTTGCGCTAGCCCTTGAGAACAATCGTTCTGAATGCACTGATATTCCTGGCATTGGCAGACATTTTCTGGTCATTACACTGAGCTTATGAAATGTTGTCTTCATATATTCCCACGTCTGGAAGATGTCAGATTTTAGAGATGAAACTGGATTAGCGAGGTAAGGTCCAATTTCATCAATTTCTCTTCTACATCCTCCGCAATCCTCGATACTTACTCAACTACAATTATTATAGCAAAAAGTAACAAAAATGTATGAAATCACATTGCATCGTTACATTGACTGTGAATTGTGATGTGATGTTAATAAATTTAACGGTTTATAGTCATAACCGGTTTATGATATCGTAATTGAATGTTTTTTTTTACATTTACAGAAATCATAACTAATAAGGGATCGATACTTTTTCACGATCACTTAGTAAAGTTAAGGCTATAATCCCATCTCGGTCTTCAGACAACGCACCTGTAACCTTCTTTGTATGAATTTGGCTGTGTTGAATGGTATGAAAGTGGACTGTGAGTTCGATCGTCCTTTTAGTTATAAAATAAAAGCTAAAGCTTCATCGTGAGAATTTTTTTTTAAGTGAGGACTCCGTTATTTTATTTTGTCCAAAAGGTATCGTAATAGGAGGCTAGGTTATATATAGCGGTATAATCATCTCGTTTACCCCACAACAATTATAGGCGTACCATTATAACATACTATTATTATAGTTCAATTTCATCCAATATAAGCGATCCTCCCTCGCTTCATATGGGTGATTTTGGACCTCGACAATAGCGTCACATACCTGGTCTGATTTTGATTCTAAACCATCCAGGGACCCGCTCAAATGCAAACAAAAAATTTCATCAAAATCGTTCGAGCCGTTTTCGGGTTTTAGTGAGACTAACGTACAGTAATTGATTTTTATATGTAGATATATCATCATCAACATCATTGCTGTCCTTTATAAGTCCACTGCTGGACATAGGCCTCCGCCAAGAAATTTCTATCCGTCGACTTCCCGTATGCCTTACCATGTCGTCACTTGCCTGAAGCCAGATGATGGAAGGATTAAAGTGTAAAGATGCCCGGAAGAGAGATATGCTTATAGCAATCATTGAAAAGGGGCATATGGTGGAGTGACAGGTATGGTATGGGGAGGTATTTGTATGGGGCATGTACAAAACTTCGCGTCATTAGGAATAGGTCACTACAGCAGTACCATATGTCCCTTTAATAGGAGATAGACTGCAGCCGTAGTCGTCGAATACTTAAACATTTTGCATTCAGTGCTAGGGGGTGGCCAGCGCGCTCGCCCTACCTAAACTCTATAGAGCATGTATAGAATAAGCTTAGCTTAATAAATAAAGATTAAAAACGCATTACATGAAGAATGTAACGAAATCTCTCAAAATTTTATTGATAACTTGATAAAGAAGCTGGAAGTAGTGCGAAAAGCTAGAAGGGGCAATACTAAGTACTGGTTATAGCCCACGTATAGTCTTTCGTAAGCATTTATGAGAAAAAATAATAAAATGCTATGTACAAAAATGTTTTTTTTCTTAATTTGTTAATTTTTGTCATTTGATCGTTTGTTTTTCAGCGTAATCGATTTTAAATCATCGAATAAATAAACTTAATTGTCACAAATATCCATGATATAGGTATTTCTATACATACGTTTTTTGCGTTTCTCTAAATCATTTTATAGTTTGTTTTTTCAGCTTTAGCTTTTTAAATTAACCAATTTAAAATTGCTAAAAATAAATACACTTAATTGTCACAAATATCCGTGATATATTTTTACACACACTTTTTTGCGTTTTACTAAATTTGTTCATGAATATATGAATTCAAAAAATCCAGAAGGTATTTAATTCATATTTAAGTCCTTATAAATAATAATTTTTTGTGTACTTTTATTAAGAACTGTATCTTTTTAAAGAGCGTTAGGGTGATTGTAATAAATAATGAAAAGGATCATCACCGCTATAATCATTAGCCTTTTCAAGGCTGGGCACAAGCCTCCTCAAACAATTGAGAAGGTTTTGAAACATGGAAGAGTCAGGCTGCCTTAAAGCCATTTGGCGGACTTTACACGCACTCAAAATAATTTAATTTTCTATTTGCCAAACACGTATAGGTCTTCTAAAAGTCTTTACCATCGAGCCCGTTGTAAATAATTCCTTAAAACTCGAACTCGTAGAGATCTTTAGCGCTGATGGAGATCGTCATAGAGATAATATACTACAATGGTGACGACGAAACTCCGTAAACTGTAGAACACATCCATATAGACTGTCCAAGATTTCAATCAAAACGGTTAGTCTGTGAGAGAAAAAAATACGCAGAAATAAAGGGTGCTGTAAAATAAATAACAGTACATAGATGAACTAAGATACGTAAAAAAACCGTACACGTAAAAAACCGGGAGCAAAATTTTATGGTATGAAGGAGTTTATGTCCAGTAGTGGATTATTTTTGGACAGATAAATTAAAAATTAATTTTTTAATAGCATTTACAAATGTTTGTAGCCAGTACATACGGTCATTACAACGGGAGAAGTAAAACTTTTATACGCGTCTTCTTTGTCCATTATTGTAAAATCTAAAAACATTGGCTTTATACTGCTATTACTCTGCTTTTTTCTTTAAAAGAGAATAGGGGAACGAATCATGAATTTTCACGTACTGTGGTTCCCTCGCAAAAACTTTTTTTCTATTTATTTTAAATACAAATGTTTTAAATAGACAATTTTAAAATCTAATGACTAGAGATCTCTACTTTATGGGAGTTATTATTTTCTGATTTTTTTAAATGGTAGTGTTTC